CATAGTTAGCTATGGATATTAGCTAACAGGTATTCAGGGCTTCAAAATTCATTCTTGGGGATGAACCAACTATTGAAAATGTGTTAATTTAAAGAGAAGATTATCCTGTTTTAGAAAAAAAAAAAAAATTAGTATACAGTGAGGGTTTTGTAACACATTTTGATTAGAAGCTATGAGAAAAGTGGTTGAATATTCCTAAGGGATAAAGTGCTTGAGGGGTTTTTACATTGAGGTGGGCCCCCTAAAGCTCTGTAATAACCTAAAAGTGATCTATTTTATGGCTGAAAACGTAGTCTGAGCTGTAGAGAAGCATTCTGTTTAAAATTGGGTTTAAAGGCTGAGCGTGGTGGCTCACACCTGTAATTCCAGCACTTTGGGAGGCTGAGGCGAGTGGATCACAAGATCAGAAGTTCAAGACCAGTCTGACCAACATGGTGAAACCCGTCTCTACTGAAAATACAAAAATTAGCCAGGTGTGGTGGTGCATGCCTGTAATCCCAGCTACTCAGGAGGCTGAGACAGGAGAATTGCTTGAACCCGGGAGGCAGAGGTTGTAGTGAGCTGAGATTGCGCCACTGCATTTCAGCTTGGGTGACAGAGTGAGACTCTACCTCAAAAAAAAACCAAAAAATGGGTTTAAAATCAAGGGTAGATGAGGCAGAGGTAACAACTAAAAGTTAACGAGAAGGGTAGCAAACTGGTGTTTATTGGTTAAACCATTATTCAGTACTCCCCCAGATACAGTGTTCCTTCATATGGCCCTGTTTTGCTGTTTCATTCAAATATTTATAGTAAACTTTCTAATTTATTGAATGTCCATAACATTGTGGGGTACACAGTATGTTTCCCATTTCATAGATGGGTAAATGGAGGATTTTGTTCAAGGGGTTAGATGTGGAACTCAATTCAGGCCCTCTGTTTTCCTTTCAACTTGGAAGTACACCCACCTTCTCCCCACTTAAAAGTCACTGCTTATAGTAAGATAAGAAAATGGTTTGGAAGCAGAGATTATGATTTACTTTATTATAGTGGGCTTCCTCAAAGTTTTCTGTCCATGCTCATCTTTTGAAATCTATGGCATACAGTGAAACAACTGAGCAAGGCAAGGATAAACCTTGTGGAAGTGTACCCTATGTGGAAGCAAAACATCTAAAATGATCAGCTGTTGGAGTTCTGAATTTCCAAACTTGCAGATGACATATGAATCATAATAAGGGTAGCTTACGGCTGTTAGTGTGTCTGGGCCAGAAGCCCTGTCTTCACATTGTTTTATAAACTCTTAGCCTTTATTCCTTTTTCCTTGTTCATTTTCTGCCACAGCATGAAGTCGATTATCCAGATTTGGATAAATACATACTGTCAGTTTTTTTCATTTGTTATGTTTCCTCATGCCCACTCATTACATTATGAACAGATTAGCAGTTACGAGTGAAAAGCTATGACACTGAAGTATGGAGGTATCTCAGCATTCAGCTGATTGCTAGGCAGCTGTACTTTTGAGAACTTGAAAGCAAAATGGGGACACATTCATCTACATTTCAATCAGAGGACATTTGTGTTCTGAAGAAAAACAGATTTGGGGTGAAACTTAATATTTTTCGATGTGGTTCTGGGATTGTACACAGGCACTGGACTTGTAGATAAGTTGTGTATTTTTCTTCTCAGTTGGTAAATTAAAAGTGCTTGAGAATGTTTTTCTGCATCTTAAGCCCAGATTTTTCCTCTCTCTGTCCTTTAAAGTTTGCCGAAGAAACTAGACTGCATAAAAACGTCTATTTGCAACTGCCTTCTTCGTGGCTTAGGTATTAAAACTTCAAAGCATCATCTGAGACAGAGAAGATCACAGAATAAATTTTTACGGAGACAAAGGAAACCACAGAGAAAGCTGCAGTCGACTCTTTTAAGGGAAATTCAGCAGTTCTCTCAAGGGACTCAGAATGTTGCTGCAGATACTGGTGCTAAGTGGAAACTCGCACACTGTACTGTGCATAGAACTCATCTCTACCCTAAGAGTAAGCAATTCTTGAGTAGTGGAGTTTCAATGACTGTCATGCAAACTAAGGAGAAAATGATTCATGAAAATCTTAGAGGCATCCATGAAAATGAAACTGATTCGTACACAGTGATGCAAAGAAATAAAAACAGTACATCAGGAACTATTAAGGAGACAGATGACATTGATGATATTTTTGCTTTAATGGGAGTTTAGATGTTCGTACATGAGACTTAATAAGTGATTACCAAGGCTAGTTCAGTATTCTCTTTTAAGTGGAACTGCTGAGATCTGGAAGTACCACCTGGACTCACAGAGGAGCTGCTTTAGTGCAGCATTGCAGAGGAATTCATTCCATTTCAGTTAGGTTTACATTTAAAGTAGCACCATGCCATTCATCAACAAGTACTACTTTTTGGCTTCAACCACATGCCAGGTGTTAAGATGAAAAGTCTGCCACAGCCTGCCTTTGAGAACCAGATGTAATTCCTTGAGTGAGGCTAGTAAGTCTCTGAGACATTGAATAATTTGACTTACCAGGCAGTTTAATAACCATTTGCAAAAACCATTGTGCCTTGAGGTAGATGAGGAGGGAGGATGAGGAGTAGCAAGGAAACACCTGAAAGGTCATTTTGGCCTCATTAGCTCCATTGTAGGTAGGTCTGCCTCTTAATACTAAAGTTTGTAGCTCCTGACAATTGTGCTGTCTTGTTTATACATTGGAATTGATCATCAAGCTTTGCCACTGCTTGTATTACCAGAGTCTGGTTACAACCGTTATTTCTGTTCATTTGTTCATCTTATATTAAAGTGAGTTTGGAGTTCTCCAAGAAGTTTTAATTTTTATTTGGGTGCCAGTGATTGATTGATTCCAAATAAACCTTTTTTACAAAAAGGATATAAAGTGGTTCATGGTAACATATGAAATATAACAGGATAACAGGTAGTTGAGAAAGTAAAATGAGAAAATCACGTTAGGAGACACAAAATGGACCCAGGAATGAGGCTAGTACGTTTATAATTTGGTGTTGATGCTGTCATCTGATAGGGGATGTTGCTTTATACTATTGCTCTGAGGGAGTACTTCTTAAGTATTTTCAAATAATGATGTGAAGTTTGAGGTATTTTTTGTGTTCTAACTTTTCTGGAATTAGGTTAATAAGCTTTTGTCATACCCTTAACTTTTGTTACATAGAGATTTAAAGAAAAAGCAGTACTGTAGTATGTACTGCATCCTTCTTTTCCATTCTTTATTTGGCTTTCTTCCTTCCCTGTCTGCCTTCTGCATTTTCCCAGTTATCTCTACCAGTGGTTCTCAAACATTAGACTTTTTGAGAATCACCTGTAAGCCCTTTCCCAGAGACTGATAAACGGGCCAGAAACCTGGATTTTTAACAAGGATCCGAAGTGATTTTGGTGCAAGTGGCCCCAAATCCAGTTATATCAACTCTGCTTTAGCTTCTCTGTTGAAGCCTTGTTAACTGGTTTCTTAATCTCTAGTCACTTTTCATACTCCTTTTTGCTGCCTACCAAATGACAGTAGCTATTTAGTGGCTTAAAATATGGACAATAATAAGATTTCATTCCAGAGAAGTCTAGAAAGGCCATTAACGTCTAAGTGTCCTTGTGTTCAATATATTACCTTTACCTATTAGGAAATGGAAGGTTATTAGTAAGAGAACTGGTGTATAGCTTTGTGGACCATAGGGCTAACAAAAAAAAAAAAAAATTTTTTTTGTAGAGATGGAGTTTCACCATGTTGCTTGGGCTGGTCTCAAACTCCTGGACTCAAGAGATCTATCCACTTTGGTCTCCCAAAGTGCTGGGATTATCCACGCCCTAGTAAGTGGCAACTTTATCACTTCTAGACACACAAGTCATTTATAAGAACAGTGTTTGAGACCTCTTGTGTGCGACTTCAAATCCTCTTGGCCTTCTTAACTAAAGTCACTGCTGTGGCAACCAGTTTCAAGTAGGGGCTGAATCTTGCCTTTTGCTCTGGGGACTTCTCACTTCCTGCCCCTGAGCCTCTGACCAGCTGCAGGAATTGCCTGGCACTTGGGTATGTGTACAACCCGGAAGAGGTGTGGGGCCACCCCATCCCCTCATCAAAGAAATTAGCACAGTGTGAAGCTAAAGTAACTCCATCTTGGATGCTAATCTACCATGTTGACTTCTGATAACTTGTTCCAGGAATGCCTCTAAGATTTCTACATTTATCTACTATTAAAATAATACACACTCACTGTAAATCCTGGCCTTAAGCAAATTATATGCTATGCTGCACACAGCATTCTTGCCTTTCCATGAGGGTTGACTTCAGGGTCTCACGTGTTCCTTCTGAAGCATGTATGCCCTTTTCTCCATGGCATATAAGCCTTGGGTCTGCGGGTAACTGCGGGGATCCAGTGTCTCATCACTGCCTGAGACATAGCTTCTGTGCAGAAGTCCCTATTAAATGTTTCTGACAAACTGGATTTGTCAGCCTCTTTCTTTGGCATCTCAGTACCCCCAGCCTTTGAGGGTAGGCTGCATAGAACCTGCTCACTTTTTGTGTTTGTAGAACACATATTTCCTAAGAGTTCTCAGATGTTCCCTCAAGATCTAGCACTAGTGCCTATGTTTTGGCTAACTCAATGAATATGTCATTAATAGGCTTGTCTGTCTTGTTTCATTTTCCCACTGTTCCTGGGATCATTTTCCAAATTTATATATGTACGCTTTTGGCTCAGGCTCTTCTTATAGAACCAAGAATAAGACAAAGCAGTCGAGTAACACTGGCAGACAAATAGATGACTTGTAAGAAAATTCTTGTCACTATGTATTTTAATGAAAGCCTATATTAAAAAAACTTTTTGGCTGAAAACACTGCTGGTTATAATTAGACCAATTCCATGAACTATGAAACAACTGACAATATATTCAGATTGACTTTTCTGAAAAAAGCCACAAAGTTGGTTTATAGCTTTAATTTTTTTATCCAGCAATACAGCTATAATCTTTTACTATTCAGCTTCCATTTGAAAAACTAAGCCACTTATATGAATAGGTCAGTGGCACCTGCACAAAAATCTTTTCTATTAACTTTATTTGAAAGGCTTTATCTTTCCATTCTGAACCTTAAATGTAGCAGTCTAAACTGTTCTGTCAGCTTTTTTCTCTTGCCCTTTGCAAATTAGTTTTCTCACCTAAAGCTATTTTCGTTTTTCGATTTTTCACTAGTGAAAATGTTACTCCCTTATGAAAGGACATTTCATGTGATAAATCTACCTGTGAATTTTGCTATATTTCTTTGTTGGTTTGGCTTAACAAATGTGTAGCTGTCTTCTCATATGCTACCTTTTGTAAAGCCATTCATTTTAATCTTAATAGCTTTCAAGGATACAGTAACAAATGAATTTCAGAGAAATCAAGTAAGTTGCCCAAGATCCAACATACATGATAAACATCAGAACTGGAACCTGAATTCTGTTCTTTTGGTTGTTTCCAACATGGACTAACACATTATCAAGAATGTTTTCAATATTCAAATAGGGACTCACATAGGCTTACATAGGAACATTTATTCATCAACTTACCTATTGATGCCTAACAGAAAAGCAGCCTCCTTTTACTTAGCCTATTTTAATGTTTTTTTTTTTTTTTAAATACACATAGTAGACATTTTCTTTAAAAGACAAAAGCCCAATAGAACAACAAACCCTTCTATATATAGTTATAATAGATTTTCATTTTATGGACTTCTATATGCTCTTGTCAGTTTGTTAAAATAGGGCATCTGTTCTAATGGACACCATAATTCAATTACTTGTAAACCTTTTCTTCCCCGAGGCACTAATTCTTGTTTTGACTTCTCAAAGTTGCAGGTTTTAAAAGCTGAAATGATCTTCCTGGAAGTTACAGATGCACAACATTTAAAATAATGTTGAAATTCTTCTAGGTATTTAACTCCAGTTAGCAGAAAGCTTTTTTCTTTCTTTTTTTTTTTTTGGAATCTTCAGCTAAACTGGGAGCCATTAATTAAGTCAAGATTTCCTGTTACATTTGCTATAAAGCATCTCAGTAGATGGATTCCAGAAAAGGTCACAGCACTGTGAAAAGAAAAAATAATTTTCTTCCTTTCCTCAGAGATTCGTCAACTTAAAAAATTATAAATTCTTGTGATTCCATGCATGAAAGCAGAACATCTTTTAATCTGTTCTAGCTTTCTTCTCTTTCCCCAGCCGCTTCGTGTAGTATTCTAAGATCTGATGATCAATGTTATCCAATCCATTTCCTTCATGATTCCAAAAATTTCAGTATACCTTCCATCTTGCTTTGTTTTCCAGAATTAGTCTTGAATTTTTTTAGGTTTTTTTTTTTTTTTTTTTTTAATTTTTTTTTTGTTTTTTTTTTTTTTTTTTTTTTTTTTTTTTTTTTGTTTTTTTTTTTTGTAACATAAATTCAATTACCTTGTTAGACTTTTCAGGTTTTAAAAAATTTACTATTATTTTATATATTATTTTTATATGATTGTATATATTATTTATCTACCTGTCTTCCTATATCCATCCATCCATCAGTATGGAGATCAGCCAAAATGTTTCTCAGGTATGGATATACTACAGTTTTTTGTTTTTTTTTGTTGTTGTTATTGTTTTTTTTTTTTTTGAGATAGAGTCTTGCTCTGTCACCCAGGCTGGAGTGCAGTGGTGCGATCTTGGCTCACTGCAACCTCTGCCTGTCAGGCTCAAGTGATTCTCCTGCCTCAGCCTCCCGAACAGCTGAGATTACAGGCGTCTGCCACCACACCTGGCATTTTTTTTTATTTTTTAATTTTTCTAGAGACAGGGTTTCACCATGTTGACCAGGCTGGTGTTGGACTCCTGACCTCAGGTGATCTGCCTGCCTCGGTCTCCCAAAAGTGCTGGGATTACAGGCATGAGCCACTGTGGCTGGCCTTCAAATGCCTTTAGTTTTAAGTGACACCTTAATTTAAGAAACACTCATATAATATTACAGGTTTTCAGTACATAAAGTTATAAAAACAATTCAACCAGCAAGTGGATAAAGAAAATGTGGTATAATGTTTCATGGACTACTACTCAGCCATAAAATGGAACAAAATAATGGCATTTGAAGCAACCTGGATGGAGGTGAAGACCATTATTCTAAGTGAAGGAACTCAGGAATGAAAAACCAAATACTGTATGTTCTCACTTATAAGTGGGAGCTAAGCTATGACGACACAAAGGTATAAGAATGATAAAATGGACTTTGGAGACCCAAGAGAAAGGTGGGAGAGGTAAGCGATAAAAGACTTCACATAGGGTACAATGTACACTGCTCAGGTGATGGGTGCACTAAAATCTCAGAAATAACCACTGAAGTATGTTTGCATGCAACCAAAAACCACCTGTTCCCCAAAAACTATTGAAATAAAACAAAAATTTAAAAACCGATGACATTCTCATTTATATTACTTCATTAAAAACAGAAAACAAAACAATTCAATTCTTACCTTACAGCAAACAACTGAGGAAAACATCCTTGAGTTTTCGTGCTAACAAATTTCTGGATCTCAAGCACTTGTTTTAAAAGATGTCCTTTGGAAGATTTGTCAATTTTTGTTAATACAATCTATAAGAAAACAAATTTTTAAGCATTAGCAAAGTGGTTGTTCATAATTTTACGCATTTTAGCTACAATATTTCATTTATAACTAGGTTACCCGTGTAAATTTCTTATCTCTTTATACCTATTTCCTCATCTAAAAAATAACAAATCCATAAAGGAGGAACTGTGAAGATTAAATGAGCAAATGTCTGAAACACATCAAGTATACAGTATGTGTCTGCTGCTTACAGTGCTTTAATCACACAGGGCCATAATATCTTGGAAAGATCAATGAGAAGGGTCATATTTGCAATTGTGATACATGTTTAGATCACAATATACCTGACAGATTAGGATATATAAATGAATATTGGCTTTATCTATATAAAATTGCCCATTTGTAATCAGTTTTTGACCTATACTCTAAAGAAAAAATCAAAAATCAGGTATTTGTAGGTTGTAGCTACTAGTTATATTCCAAGTCAGTCCAGAATTTTACTTGTCCAAAGACAAGTACATAGTGCAGAAAGGTCAAAGTATGGATGATTACAAAAATCAATTAAATATAAAACCTTAATCCACCAGGTATTCCTGGTGAGATTCTGTAAGATTAAATTTCCTGGCAAATCATTTATGCTTTTTAGTCATAAAAGATGCTAATGGCAGGAGTGTGTGGTGTCATGATATATATACTGTATTGGTTTATGTCCATGGTTACTTTCTCATAACTCCCATAGCCCTTGTTACAATCTTTTGTTATAATGTTGGATGTGTTGGGCATCGGGAAACAAAATCTTTCTGACCTCCTGCCTTCCATTCTCCTGCCTTCCATTCTCCTGCCCTAAGACAAGACTTGTAATCTTCCCTCACCTTTCTGATTGTGGGTCATATGACCCTCATTCCAGAGAGGGTCCCACTCCATACCCGGGGGAAGGAATGCTGATGTCATGAATCTTCCATTAAAGCCCAGGAAGACTTGGTTTGGAGAGCTTTCAAATAGCTGAACACAGGGAGGTTTCTAGAGGGTGGCATGCCCAAGGAGGACACACAGGTTCTGTGCATCTTCACTGTATCCTTTGCAACATACTTTATAATACCATCAGTAAGCATGTTTCTCTGAGTTCTGTGACCTACTCCAGCAATTAAACCCAAAAAGGGGATAGTAGGAACCCTGACTTGAAGCCAGTTTTGATATTCTAGAGGCCCAAAATTGTGACTAGTGTCTGAAACTGGGTGAGAGGGGCAGTCTTGGGGACTGAATCCTCAATAGAATCCTTAATACGTAGGATCTGATGCTATCTCCAGGTAGATAGTATGAGAATCAAATTTTCAGACACCCAGCTGCTGTCCTCTGCTTGTTGGTGGGGAAAACCCCCGACACATTGGGCCACAGAAGTCTTCTGTGTTAACTGTTGTGGTATGAGAGCAGACGAAAAACATAGTTCCAGTGTTTTTCCCATAATAAGAAGCAGAATGGGTGTGGTTTCTAATTACCTGTGAATCCCTCCACAAATGGGAGTCTTTCCTCATAAAGACAAATGTACTGATATTTAAAAGGAGATACAGATAAAGTTTCTCTATTCTAGTTCCTTTTCCAACAAAGAAAGTAGTATTTCCTTAAAGTTAAAATTAAGGAAAATACATGATTTCATAAATTGGTATCTGTGATACCAAATAAGGAATACTATTACTTAGTTTGGCAATATTTAGGCATTTTTACTAAGTAGACTATCAATCCTTTGACTCCTCATAACTATAAATTATCTCTGATGCTTCATAGGACTTTTGCAAACCCCAAGAATTCCATGACCCCAAGAATAAAAGTGGTTAACTAGTAGTAACATGATGTGATTTGTATTAAACTCCACTGTTACATATTAGTGGCTTTCTGACATCATTTTGAACCGAAATTATAGTTACTGGGCTCTTCACTTTTCTTTGGAAAGAAACTTTAAGAGGGCTATTTTATCTGGAAGTCTCACAAAGCAAAATTAATGTGGATACCAACCTACAATTCTCTATTCTATTCTAGGTCAAAAGACAAACAGTACTGCTAAGAAATTCCCAGAAGAAATTTTGTTTGATTTAAAAATATAAAAATCCTACTTGTGTGTATTGGAGGCTGCTATATTCTTGGAACAATTTTAAAATTTTAAGCAACTTTTTAAGTTGCAGTTTTATTCACATTCTTATAAGTACTATCTGCTAAGCTGCTATTAAAGAGCTACTGACTTGTTCTGAACAAATATTTATGTTGCTATAAAAAGAAAAAAATATGAAAACTACATAGGAACATTAAATGAACAGGTTAAAGCAACCTTTACTTTGACTATAATTTTCAAAACATAGAGCTGAGAGATGGAAAAGAATAAAAGTGCCACAGAACTTACTTTAATTAATATTAATGGATGATTAACTGAAAAGATTATTCAAAAGGCACCCTCCTTTATCTTTTGAGGAGGCAATACAAGCTCAATTGTTAAAAGGTACATGTATGCACAGCTGCACATAGAACTGATATCTAAATTGCAACCATGATTCAAAGGAAGTACTTACCACATAAGGTAATGCAAATTCTTCACACATTTCAATGGCAATATTGTCTGTTTTTTGAATTCCAACAACACTATCCACTAATAAAAATGTTCTCCTCAAGCTATAATAATGTAGAAATGAAAATTAATGGCAATATAAAATATACCCATTTATTTATCCCCTCTTCCTTACTATACTAAGAAATTTTCATTTGAATGATTCTCAATCCAAAATTTAAAAAATTTCTTGAGGCAAAAGGAATTCTCAATTTGCCAGAAGTTTATCCTGCAGTCCAGTTGGTCTCAATTCTATTTACTTTCAATAACTAAATTCACTAAATATTAATTTAATTCAATAAGGATATATTGGACATAAGACATTCTGCCTGGGGCTTGATATGAGAGTGTTCCCACCTCTAAAAACCTTAAACTTGAGGAGAAGTAAGAGACACAAATCAAATTAACCATAAATTACAGATTATGAATTATAAAAATCAAATTAACCATAAGTTATAGAAACTTTTTTTTTTTTTAAGACAGAGTCTCATTCTATCACCTAGGCTGCAATGCAATGGCATGATCTTGGCTCAGTAACCTCTGCCTCCTGGGTTCAAGTGATTCTTCTGCCTCAGTATCCCAAGCAGCTAGGATTAAAGGCATGCACCACCATGCCTGGCTAATTTTTTTGTTATTTTTTATTTTTAGTAGATGCAGTGTTTTGCCATGTTGCCAGGCTGGTCTCGAACTTCTGACCTAAAGTAATCTACTCGCCTCGACCTCCCACAGTGATGGGATTGCAGGCGTGAGCCGCCGTGCCTGGCCTGTATAGAAATTTTTTAATATTACTGTAAGACTAACAGATAATAGAAGCCAGACACATTATATTTTGCATTTTCTTATGTAAATATTTGATTTTACCCTCTATGTAAAGCTACAACAAAGATACTTATAAACTTTTTTTTTACATTTTAAAAGATTAACATCAATTTTCTATATATTGTGCAATTACTGAAACAACTATCACTTGACTACATAAGGAGACAAAAAAGAGGTAACATTTGCAGCAGCTGTGATGTCTGAAGTATTTTAAAAATGATCAGAATTTGCTGGTTTTAACCAATAATTTTCATTTTCAAAATTAGCCAACTAAGAGTTTGGTTTTAAAAAAAGCTAACGGGCTGGGGTGCAGCAGCTCACGCCTGTAATCCCACACTTTGGGAGGCTGAGGTGGCAGATCACCTGAGGTCAGGAGTTCAAGACCAGCCTGGCCGACATGGTGAAACCCTGTCTCTACTAAAAATACAAAAATGAGCCCGGCACAATGGCGCAGCTACTCGGGAGGCTGAGGCAGGAGAATCACTTGAACCTGGGAGACGGAGGTTGCAGTGACCCGAGATCGTGTCACTGCACTCTGGCCTGGGTGTCTGGTCTCAAAAAAAAAAAAAAAAAAACTATGCTGAATTACTCTTTAGTTTCAATCTCAATTTGAGAAAACACTAAAATTTAATATTAAGGGTAAGCTAAACTACAGACAGAGAATAAGCAAGCAGTACATACCTTGGTCCTAAATACTGTATAATATTATGAGAATAAAATGGGCCTTATAAAATAAGTCATTTGATAAAACTGAAGTGTTGACCATGTGTATATTACTCTACTGATGAAAACATGCCTTGGAGTTAAATGTATACCTATTATTATAAGAAAATCTTTTCCTTACTTGCTTCGTTCTTTTAGGTAGGTCTCTACCATGTCGGCAAAATCTTCAGGTGCTCTAAAGCCATACCCTGGCATGTCCACCACCGTAAAATGTTTTCCAACTTTGAAAAAATTCATTTTCTTTGTGTGTCCCTGATTAAGTAAATGGAAAAAGAAAAGCTGTCTTAAAATATGTCTTCCATCTACTTAATGATTCCAAATCTTTTCCACTCAATCAAATATTATTAAAAGCCAAGTATATAACCTTAACTACGCTGATGATGACAAGACAGAAGGGCAATGGCTGGAGATAAGTTTAGAACATACTCCTTTTTCCTTCATTTTACAAAAAGAATCTGTATGACTTAAGAACTTTAGATTCCATATTAGAAACATGTAGGCAAAATATTTTGGAGTCTTTCCTATTTCATTAACCCTTAGTAAAAAATTCACCCTGTTCTAAATTGTGACTGCATCAATCAATATTCTCTGATGAACAATGTATCTCCACTTTAAAGAGAAACTAATTATGGCAAGGATAAGTTAAAATGCTTACCATTAGACATACATGTTTTCATAAAACCTAGATCCAAAGTCTGATCATTTCTTATACCTAGACTATTGCTTCCCTAAAATCAAGATATTTTGCATGTTTTATTAGGTGGATTTTAGTGCTTTCATTAAACAATTTTTATTGCATGCATAACATCATATTTGTGCAACTAAAATTGATGTAAAGATGGTGAAAAGTGGTTTATTTGTAGTTTTGTGTCCATAGGACATTTATTAATCAGAAAAGATTATATAGGCAATTTTAAAAGTTAATTGTTTGGATCTTATAAAGATCTTTCCTTATCAAAGGAAAGATTTATAAATGGTCATTTTAAGTTCCTAGTTTATTTGTCTATAGGAAAATGATTTTAGAATTACAGATTGGGAATGTCAAGAATACATTTCCTCCATTGCTCTCTCACAAAAGGAAGGAGATCACTCTACCTAGAAGTGAAAATTTAGCTGATTGATTTGGTGAGGCAGGGCAGGAGTAAGGATGGGAGGGTTAAGGAATGGAAAGAATCATTAGCAATGGAGCCAGAGAATCATTATATGAAGTGGGGAGCAAGAAAAGACCCAGTGAAGTCTCATGGAAGGGTTCCAACTCAAAGAAAAGTGTGCGTGTATGTTTGTGCACGCACACGTACTTGCATGCATGCACTTGCACGCATGCGCGCAGGTATGGTGAACATTAGGGTTGGTGGAAAGGTTTACCATGGCCAGATAAGGTGAGAGAAAGTGGGCGTGATTTTGAAGAAAGGGTATCTTAGATATTGGTAGAGACCATGTTGTTGAGAAGAAAGTAGAGGAAAATGACAGCTATTACAGCAGACTGGCTAAGATAATAAGGACATAAGAATATGCCCGATGTGTATGTGTAACTAATTCATGTACTTTATACCTTAGAGAAGATGATAGGAGGAAAAAAGCAAAAAAACCTAAAAGCTGTTTCCCCTAAAATCAATGTAGAACTAGATGATCACTCTCACAGAAGGAAATAGAATGACAATAAGACACTTTATTTGGCAACTCTTTGCAAAATTTGGATAAAGAAATATTTCCTGAAGATACTGTCAAGACTACTCAAATAAATCCAGCTACACTTCCTTTTCTTCAGAGAACTATGAAGGCGTTAGAATATCTTACTTTATTACTTTTTTGAAAGAAATAACTTCTCTAGGAACTTAGCAGTTATGATTTCTTATACTTTCAAACATTTATTATTCATGCCAGTTAATCCAAGAGATAGTCCAAACATATTTAAAAATTTCAACATACTGGTGTTTTGGAGATTCTGACTTCAACCTCAGGGGCCAGTGAAAATAAAGCCTTGATTAGGGAGGATTTTCCAACATTGCTTCTGCCTATAAAACACACCTATACAAGAAAAAAGAAAATAAGTACTAGCCGTATATGATATTCTGCATTAGCTGCAAAAAACCTCAAATTCTAACATAGCTAATATTTATTGAATGAATTCAATGTGCCAGGTACTATTTTAAGCATTCGGCATATATTTTCTTATTTATTTTTTTACAGCATCCGAGGAGGTAGGTGATATCCCCATTTTACAGACGAGAGTACACAACTAACCCAAAATTATACAGACAGTAAATCAATTGGGACTTGAACTCAGGACATGTATATCTAGAATCTGTGCTTTTAGTTTCACTACGCTACTCAATAATACATGCAACTTTTATTGAACATTTCATATTTACAAAGCTTTTTGGAGTAAAAACTAGATGTAGTTCAACAAAACTGATGAAAAGTACTACTACATGTTTGGAAGCACATTTTCTCAAGGACTCCCGTGGTATACTGTAACACCACTGCAATTTAAAAAGTTACTCTTTCCCTTGACCACTCTTGTTCCAATTAAGCTTTTCTCCTCTGCTTTTGAACATGGTATTGGAGGTGAGGGGTACAATACCAATCAATTGTTCTAAATGAGGACAGTACTGGCCCTTGGGGGACATTTTTGGAGATTTTAAGGGCATTTATGGTTATCAAGACAATTGGGGGACATTTAGTAGCCAGGGGCCAGGGATCCTATCCTGCAAAATTCTGGTCAGTCCTTCAAAATTAATTGATCTGAGTCTTGCAAAAATTTTAAATGCTCTGCCAGAGCAAACCTCATGCTAATATGTTGATAAAACTGAATTTTAAAAACAAATTGCAAAAAAATCCAGTAATTTAGAAGCTTAAATAAAAAAGCAATGGCTCTCTCAAAATCATTAAATAATTTAGGTACTCCGAATCCTGACTATAGTTCTACATATATTTAGAAGAAAAATCTCTGGGCAACGGTGCAGTTACTGTAAATACATATGGAGAGTTCAGCTGCCTTTTAGCAGACTTAGAACAGAATATCGTTGAATTGTAGGACATGAAAAAATGCTTACTCATGAAATTTCACTAATAAAAGCTGCTATTAAAAACTTTCCTTGGGAGGGCGAGGCGGGTGGATCACGAGGTCAAGAGATCGAGACCATCCCGGTCAACATGGTGAAACCCTGTCTCTACTAAAAATACAAAACATTAGCTGGGCATGGTGGCGCGTGCCTGTAATCCCAGCTACTCAGGAGGCTGAAGCAGGAGAATTGCCTGAACCCAGGAGGCGGAGGCTGCGGTGAGCCGAGATCGCGCCATTGCACTCCAGCCTGGGTAACAAGAGTGAAACTCTGTCTCAAAAAAAAAAAAAACTTTCCACATTATTGCCATCTAGAGATTATTATTTTTGCACATGATAGGAAGTTTTGGCGAAAGTTAATTATTGATAAGGATCATCTCATTTGTGAAACTTATTCGTTTCCTATTGTTCACTGTCTAAATTCTGTCTGATTTGTCTGGCATGTTTTCCCTACTTATTTAAATAGGGGAAAAAAAAAAAAAAAGACAAGTTACTATTTTGAATGCTTAGTTAGGGTCTCAAAATCTTTTAAAGTATTAAGTCTTCTATATTCATTCCCAAATAATGTAAACTGTATCCAGGCAGTCTCTGGCTTACGTGGGTCGACTTAACGATTTTTGACTTTACGATGGGCTTATGGGGTACTGACTGCATTTTCTACCCACGATGGATTTCCCGGGTATCCCCACGTACATGGAGCATCGGCATATCCTTATTTCGTTAAAATAATATATGCGCCCACACAAAGCTAGAAAATACAACAGCAAAATCACCCGCTAGCCCCATGGCAGAGGCAGTAGTTAGCGCTGGGACGCCGGAGCGCAGGCAAACCGTGAGAATCGCCGCTCTCACCTCAGGCCGGAGGAGGTCCGGGGCGTGGTCCATACGGATGGCGGAGCTGACGTATTCGATGCGGTTATGTTCAGTGGCCTTGAAGACGCTCTCCGCCCTCGCGATGTCCTCCGGGCTCGGGTTAAAAATCCGCAGGTGAAGGTCTTGCCTCCTGTCGGGGGCGAGGTACCGCTCGACTTCCTGCAGCGGGTACAGCAGCTTCCTCAGCTGCTGCTTCGGAAGCCGCAGCACCTCAGCAAAGGCCTGGGACGTGCTCTGACAGCGGCTCAGTCGCCCCAGCACCGCAGGCATTTCAAAGAGCTTTTCCGCTCCCAGCCGCAGCCCGGACACCGCCATCCTGCCCTCCCAGAAGGTCGGCGGCGAGACTTGTCCTGGGGCCTGGGTTGCGCGTGCGTGGCCTCCCGCTGCCGCGACGCCTGCTGGGAGTTGTAGTCTCCTCTGGCCTCGCTCTTCCTGTCTAAGCTTTTTGCGTTCAGTGCGCGGGAGGCGGGTGGAGGCGGGTGGAGGCGGGTGGAGGGAGGCGGTGACCCACGGGGAACAGCTCACTGGATTTCTTTAACACCTTGCCCTTAACGATTATTTCTTACTGGAAGGATGTTTAACGGTTTCCAGAGGTGAAAGACCTACCTGGTCATGTGGCCCTTGAGTCTCAAGCGAAGGACTAAAAGTGTGAAACTGATGCGTTCCAGGCACGTTTGATTTTCACAGTTTCTGGTTATCTTATTAACCATTGACGTTCATCATATGTCCACATCACTAGAACAAACACTTTTGCAAAAAAGAAAAGTGCTGGTGAGAAATGTTATTGAAATAACACCTCGTTTTCGGGAAAGGGACTGTTTGTATTTCAGCCTTCTCTGTAGCTGCAGGAAATGTCATCAAATTTTAGAGATTTCTTACAAAAACAGTTTTGCACAGATGGTACAGAACTGTTTCGTGGACGTTTCATAATATGACCTTATTTCTGCCTAAAGCCGATCCGTGCTGGAATGGGAGATAGAGATATCATAATGATGAAATGAATAACTGAAAAATATTCGCATGTAAAAAAAAAAAAAAAAAACCTAGGTTTTCTAAATCATCAGCAGCAAATAGCAAAGAAAGGGTAACTCATGGCCTCTTGAGCTATTTCCCAGGTTGTTGAGTAACTAAACAGGACAATTATTGAATAAATATGATACAAAAATTAATGAAGAGACTCAACGACTTTGAGGGCAGCCACTACAGCAGCCTGATGTGCTGCTGGCTGGCTTTTTATTGATCTTTGCATTAGGGTTTGGGGTGCCTTTCTGTTTGCTATTCTCTCTCCTCCATATATAAAAGTGTATATAACACTTCGTTGTATACATCAGAAATTTGGGATTCTTATTACTATGTATGTAATATGCTTTGAAAGTGCTTTTGCATGTGCCATTTTGTTTTCAAACGTTGGAGCCCCAGGTTTGGAATTGAGAGCATGAAAGAGTTTTGGCAATTCTTAGAAAGGTTTTAGAGGTGTTCCAGGACTAATAGACACATTTTAGAATTATTTGACAAGACAGTTTTTGCAGCAAATTGTCTTGTCATGCAAAGTCTGAGGGAACACACAGTCTACTGGAAAGAAATATGACTAGTAAAACCACTTGACAATTTATCTTTTTTTCTCTTTCACTTCATCTTTAAAAAGCATCTATATAAACAAAGCATATAAAATGACAGAAGGATGGTTTAGAGTTAATAATACGTTATTATGTTTTCCCTCAACATGATTAAACTCATTCCTAATTTGCAGAAGTTCAAATATGAAACATACATAGCAGTGAGACCTACTAGTGAGAAGGGAGAAAGCTAGAATCAGGAGGAATTTGTTTATAATAACTAACTCCATGGTACAGCTGCATTGGAAATAATCTGGTCTACAGGGAATTGTCAAAGTCCATGAAAAGAGGCTCACACCTGTAATCCTGGCACTTTGGGAGGCCGAAACAGGAGGATCGCTTGAGCCTGGGAGTTCAAGACCAGCCCGGGCAAAAAAACGAGACTCTGTCCCTGTAAAAATAAAAAAAAATTAAAAAAAAAATTAGTATTGAAGGGAATCAAGTCTGGTGGATAGGATGTTGCAACAGGACTTTCTGGATTCTGGCAATAGTACTGTGAATCTGGTTTTTGGTACCATCTTGGTTCCAGGTGATCTTTTTGTGTGTGGAGTAGGACCTTAGCCAGTAAGTGTACATTGGGAGTCAGGGATCTAGCCTGCTAGATCACGGGTAGGTCAGGGCTAAGATTCAGAATAGGGTTTTAGTCCAAGTAGGGAAAAGAAGAATTGTAGATTAGAAAACCTTGCCATCTAATATGTGCCTCCCATTTACCATGTCCAAAATAGAATTTCTAATATTCTTGAATTGTCTCCTAATCTGTTCTTCTTTCCTTTTAAATGGCATCTCAATTCCTCCAATTGATCTAGCCAAAAGTCTTGGAAGAAATTCTGGGCTTCTTTTTCTTTTCCCCCAAGTCCAAGTTGTTAGCAATCCTCTTGGTTTTACCTTCAAAACATATCCTGAATTGGACACTTTTTAGACATCCACTGCTACCACACTGATATAAGCCACCATTATCTCCCACCTAGATTACTGCAGTAACTTTCAAATTGATCACCCACCTTTGCCCTTTGCCCCCTTCAGCATATTTGCAACATGATGATACGGAAGGGGGAAAGGGAAGTGCCAGGAGGAGAAGGGCAGGTCCGTGGCTAGAGCTCCGTCCCTGGCCTGTGCCCACAGACCTAGGTGAGAACAGGCACTCCTGGCTTTGTGCCCAAATGTTGCATTTCCCAAAACCACCCTGGTCTGCCATGCCCCCATCCTGTGCCTATAAAAACCCTGAGATCCTAACAGGTAGATACACAAGCAGCTGGACGTTGAGAGGAACCCATCGATGGAAGAAGACACAGCTGCTGGATGTCAAGAGGATGTTGGCTGTCTGCCAGCAGGTCATAGGCTGGCAGAATGATGCAGAGTTTGGCCGGGGCAGTTGGAGGGACACTGAGTGGCTCAACTCCAGGGGAAAACCATCTCTCTTCCGGCTCACCCATCTGCTGAGAGCTACTTCCTGAGAGCCATTTCCTCTTCAATAAAATCATGCACTCATTCTCCAAGCCCACGTGCGATCCGATTCTTCCAGTACACCAAGGCAAGAACCCAGGATACCGAAAGCCCTCTATAAAGGCAGACGGGTCTAATTGAGCTAGTTAACACAGGCCACCTATAGAAGGCAAAACTAAAAGAGCACACGGTAGCACAGGGCTTCAGGAGCCGTAAACATCCACCCCAGACACTGCCGTGGTGTCGGAGCCCTATAACCTGCCCATCTGTATGCTCCCTTTGAGGTTTGAGCAGTGGGGCCCTGAAGACGTGAGTCACTCCCCATCACATGCCCTGCGAGGGGGACAAGGGTACTTTTCCCATTTCAGTGGCAGCAACCATGATCCAGTTAAACTATAAGCTAAATCCTCCAAGAGCTTCCTATCTCACTCAAAGAAAAAGTCCTTGCACTAACCTAAGAGAACCTACATGATCTTTCATTTTCTTCTTCCACTCTTGTCTGACTTCATCTATTTTTATTTTTCCCTTGTCTACTCCATTCCAGCCACACTGGCTTCCTTGGTGTTTTTCAAGCAAGCCATATACACACAACTGCCTCTGTCCTTGTACTCCTCCCTGGAATGCTTACCTCAGATAATCACATGCTTATTCCAATATGACTTAGGATGTATTTATGCCAACTTTCTGAGAAAAAAAGTGCCTCTGTTTTGATGCTGAGGAGGTCATTCACCACAGAGTTAACAAGGTTTTAAAAATTTAATATGACTTTGATGGGTGTTACATACTTTATACATCATCCCTAGAATCAGCTTTTATTGCTAAAATTCATCTGCCCTAAATGTCATGGTTATACTCTGTCATGCTCAGCTGAGAACAGAGGGAAGACAGGTAGGGCAGAATCCTCTCAATTGTTCTGTGTTATCTGCCTCTATAGTGAATGGCCATTGGGTCCAGAGTGATTCCAATTTATGTCCAGGTCCTATATGTTTAAAGCTTATGGAATCCATCTAAGACATGAAGCAGGTTGCATTGTTGTCGTAGGTAAGTAGGGGACATTGGGGACATTAGAGAACTCCCAACCTAAGTTAAACATGGTTTGAATGCCCTGACAGAAGCAAGAGCAGGGACTCAAGCAAAACTAACTTCTAGAAGTAGAGAGAGGGAATGGATTACATCTCCATGTCTGATTTGCACCAGACCTTTCCTACTCTGACTTTCCCCCTCGTCTTAACAACAGTAATGAACATTTATTGAGTGCCTGCTATGCCAGGAATTTATCTGAGTACCAGCAAACCATGAGAAAGACCTGGTTACATTCAAATTGGGATCTCAAACTCTTGTATTAGGAAGAAAATATTGGGAGAAAGGAAGATGAAAGAGACTTTATGTGAAGGAGCATGACATGGGAGAACCTTCCACATATAACTTAAATTACTTAAATTGTAATAACTACGATCTGAATGAATAATTTAAATTTAAAATACATTTAATTATATTTTTCTCAAAATTTCTTTGCAACATTCATTTTAAAATTTTACTTTAGATATTACCTGACACATTGATACAAGTTTGTGGAACAACAAGTTTGAATTGTTCACCTAATTTATTTCTTTTTTTTTTTTTTTTTAGAGACAAGGTCTCACTCTTTTGCCCAGGCAGGAGTAGGCACAATCATGACTCACTGCAGTCTCATCCTCTTGGGTTTAAGTGATCTTCCTGCCTCAGCCTCCTAAGTAGCTGAGACAACAGGCACTCACTGCCACCCTCAGCTAATTTTACAAAGCTTTTTTTTGTTGTTGTTGTTGCCTTTTCTTTTTTTGTAGAGACAGAGTCTCACTATGTTGCCCAGGTTGGTTTTGAACTCCTAGCCTCAAGAAATCATCCTGCCTTAGTCTTCCAAAGTGGAAGTATTACAGGCCTAAGCCACTAAACCCAGGTTTAATTTCTTAATTAAATTATAAATTATTATTCTTGAGATTTATTATTTTATCATCTTTCAAGAACTAGTACAGACATATTTTCCATGATCTTGGAGCTTCTTTGGAGCTCATGAAAGCGTTTTTAAAATACCTGATTAATGTATCTTTAGAGAATATATCCAACTTTAGAGAATTTTTTTTTCTTTTTCAGATAAGTTTTTTGAGCTTTCTTTTAAGGTTGTTCCTATTGCATTGACAGATTTCTCTAAAGAGATCTAGAGATTAACCATCAGACAGTATTCATATGTAGGAGGCGAGTTCGTAGAATGATTTGGGTTCTGGAGGAGGAGTAAAGGTTCATTTACTTCAAGGTTGTTTTTATCAATAGACAGAGAAATGATTGCTTTAAGTGGTCTTAATTTTTATTATTTGTAATTTTGCATTTGACTCTGTGTCATACAAGTGCTATTAAAATAATTTGGAATACTATTTACCATATTCAAATTGTGTTTTTGTAACAGTAGCAAACTCAGATGATTTTTTTTATTGTTGTTGGAAAATAGTATGGATTTTGCTGTTCTGAATGATTAATTCATTAACATTTTAATTATTGTTGTGTATTAAGCAAGGCTATTTTAGTGGGCAAATTTACTTTGTAGTACACCTCTAGTTTATATCACGTTACCTTATTGGAAGTGAATGGAATGTTTTCTAACACCCTGAGATGAGGCAACATTCACAGGCAGATATGTTGATATATTTTCAAATTTTTACCTTATTGATAGGTAGAGTATGTCAGGTGTTCTCAAGACTAGCTCCCAAATTAGGTGAGCAAGGATGCACAGGACTCAGCATATAGTTGTACTTATGCCTATAATTTTCCAGAACAAAAGAATACAAAGCAAGCCTGGCAAAGGGAAAAGGCACTCAAGGTGAAGTTTGGAGGAAGCTAGGCACAAGCTTCTAATTATCCTCTAAGTTGCACATT